CTGCACTGGGCTAGTGAAACATTGCAACTGGTATTCTGGGAATTCTTGAAGCTTTGTTTTTCAACAATCCCTTTGGTGCACCTTGGACTTATGCCCTCCATTCCATCAATTTTTGATCACATGCTGACTCATAATATAGTTTATAGTACCCAATTCTTTTTAATACACTGATCCTTTGTGGGCTTTTAACATTTTTTGTTTTTATTCACCATATTTTTTTCTATTTTGTTTTGACACTTTTTGGATCATCTAATATTTTGCCCATAGAAACCCTCAATGTCGAAACTCAAGGCTTGGTGCTTTTTTTATTCAATTCTTTCAGCTTGAGGTATTCTGAGTGTGTTCTCTGGATTGTCTAACTCCAGATCTTTGAGTATTTCTTCATCCATACATGACTTTGTCACCTCACGTTACCCTTTGAACTTCCCCATTCAACTCACTCACGGCATCTTTTTATGCTTCTAGTCACGTTAGGTTCTCTGAGTCGAGGAGCAAAATTTTTAGTTGCTTCTCACATCCACTTTGGTCCTTTATTTCTTTCCTTTTTAATGATCTTTTCTTTTCATCGTGTTTAATATTCTTCATATCATCCCACAAATCCACGGATCCTTAGTCAATAATATTGAATGTGCTGAATTTGTCATCTCAGGTAGGATGTACTCAAGGTGAGCATTTGGACTCTCATGGACTTGTTTTCAATTCTTCAGCTTCAATTGAATTTGCGTGTAAGCAATATTCCATACATAGTTTATATGGCTATAGACTATGCTATATAGTATATAATATATGTATTCCTAATATATAGTCTATAATATGTCTACTCCATACGTAGTCAGACCCTGGCTTCTTTTTAGCTAATTACAATGAATTTTGCCATAGTCTTTTTCCAGACATAACTAGTCAATCACTGCAGTTTTTCTAGTGGAGTGCACATGTGAAGTTGCTGTTTATATTATATATGTTTTCAGTGAATAAATGGTTAATGTGCAAAATTCTATCATGGGATTTGCAGGCTTCTTTCTATCACCAAGGCTATATTTTCCAAATGTTTATCCTTCCTTTTTGATTCCAACATTCATATTCCAATCACAAATAAGTATATTGTTTGCATATTTTATCAACTTCAGACCATAGAAGAAAATGTAATTAGTTATTATCTTCATATTTGACTTTAGTGGCTGTTGGGTAAATTTGAATCTGATATTCCTTATAATTGTATGGATGTTATCTTATCATTGACAGCATTGTGATTTAAAACAGATCTTAAAATGTTCACACTGTTGATGAATGTATACCATTGTTCTTAAATTTTTTATTGATCTCTGGCATATTAGACTATATGATTGTCCAATTTAAAATGGCCAATGCCAGTCCATTTCAGATTATTGAAACCAAGATATCAATTTTTATCCAGTCTTTTTAATTTTTGCTTATATTAATTGTTCCTATATTCATACTATACACATTCCATGCTCTAAACTTTAATGGATATTCTCAGTGGTTTCCTCTCATTTTTGGTCATGCCATATCAAAGATTGAATGTGCCAAAGATGTTATTATTTAGAGAATGTAAAAATGTAGTACATACGCCCAAATTAAGCTTCAAGTTATTTAATTTTAGACATCAATGGATTAAGTAGCTTATAATCATACATAACGAAGATGCTCAACTTTTTTGAAATAGTTAATATTATGTCAGAATGTTAAGGGAGATCATGTTATAAATATTTTGTTACAAAATATTTTGCATATATAAATTTGTTTATATGAAATGTATATATAATATTTAATGTATATTTTTTATTTTCCCCCTTCTTCCTCTAATTTTTCTTTCAAATAATTTATTAGGATCTAATCATACCATCCCATAGTTTAATTATATCAAGCCGTGTTTTACAATCATTACCACAATAAATATAAAACCATGTCTTTCTTCTTGTACTCCTTGATATCAGCTCCCCTTACCACCACCACTACCCTCCCTTGCCATACCCCCAGAAATCCTTAATTTAGTTATTTTCTCTATAGATTCATCCATCTTGTGTATCATATACTAAAAAACAGAAAAATACATAACAGAGAATCAAGAAAGTTACCAGCAATAACAAAATACAGCAAAGATAAATACCTAAATGATAAAAGCACAGCAAATTTTAAAAACTAGATCGAGCACAACGTTTATAAAAAAGAGACAACACGATTTTGACCATTCAAGGCAGAATTGTCATTTTAATCTACTATAGTCATTTCTACAATGCTGTCTGTCAGATCTCCAGGTTACCCCATTCCTCAATGATGGTTAGAGAGAAATCGCTGGAGCCTAAGTCCATGTGTAGACACTACAAACATATTTTGGGCTTCCACTGTCATGCATAGCCTTCGTGCTCATCAGAATATCACAGTTTCAGCTCTGATACTATCCCCTCTTTTGGGTTTGTTGATATCATTTGCAATCTTTGGATCACAGATATTGGTGTGCTTCTTCCACGGAATATAATTTCTTGAGAAGAATGTGAGGAAACAATCCATTTTGAGATCAGCTACTATTTGGCTACAGTAGTATAAAAGGTGGTGGGTTTGAAATCACCCAGCAATATTGAAATTGGTAAACCTGGAAATCTACTTCCCTTATCATGACAATCAAGAAGAATATAGGGGGATGTTATAGTGTTTCACACACGGGGTCCTCAAAATTTTGAATCCACTAGGTAGGAACTAAGGAGACACCAGAGTATTTTAATGTGTTGCATTAAAACATGCAAATAAGTGGGAATAATTTGAGATGCCTGCATGTGGAGGTCCCTGAGCTGGGAGTGATTTAAAGTGAGATAGGGGAGTAGTTTGATGGGTTGATATAATCTAAACAGCCAGACTCTGATTCAGCCCCAACTGATGTAAAACTGCTTACATTTTTACATCATCACCTTGGATCAAATCAACCCTACTATTTTTTTTAATCATTTTATTGGGGCTAATACAATTCATCACAATACATAGATCAATTGTGTAAAGTACACCTATACATTTGTTGCCCTCATCATTCCCAAAATTCGCATGCCTCTTGGGTTCCCGGAATCAGCTCATTTCCTTTGTTCCCCTCCCCCTCCCTCCCCCCTCCCCCCTCCCCCATGAACCCTTAATCCTTTATAAATTATTATTATATCTTATATTACACTGCCCGGCGTCTCCCTTCACCCACCCCTCTGCTGCCTGTCCCCCAGAGAGGAGGTTATATGTAGCTCCCTGTGATCAATTCCCCCTTTCTACGCCCCTCTTCGCTCCTGGTATCACCACTGTCACCCCTGGTCCTGAGGGGTTCATCTGTCCTAGATTCCCTGCATTTCCAATTTGATGGGGACCAATTCCCATCTCTAGACAACTGGACATACCTTGCAGAGGGGTAGTGGGGAGGAGATGAGTCACTCAGGGTTCAGTATAGCAATAATGAAACCCACAACCTTCCTCTAGTTCTTAAACGCTTTCTCCCCCCAACTACCATGACCCCAATTCTGCCTTGCAGACCTGGTTAGACCAGAGGATGCACAGCGGTGCAGATCGGAACTGGAAATGCAGGGAATGTTTGATTAATTGTCCATTTTTTAAGTTTATGAGAAAAAGCATCGTCTTTCATTTTTCCTTCTGTATACTGTTGTAAATTTAAATGATGAGTTACTTTTGCAAATATCGGGTATAGCCAGGGTGCCGGGTGCCACTTAGTTGATTTGGATTTACAACAACAGACTCGAACTGTGCCCATGAGACTCTCTAGGCTGAAGTGTTCAGTATAACAGATGACAAGGTAATCTCTCTTTCTTTCTTTCTTTCTTACACACACACACACACACACACACCCCAAAACAAAACAACATGAAACATTTAGGCTGACTGGGCAGCCTTTCAATAATCAGGAAAGTGTCACCAGGGATCTTTTGCCCCGAGTGCTTAAAATTCCATTATTAAAACTGTATTCCCTGTTAAGATATGGTTGTTTTAAGAAGCATCACACAGTAACTGAATTTCAGTCAATTATAACTATGTGTGAGTTCAGCCCATGAATTACTTCCATTTTGATATTAAAAAATACTTTTTTTCTGGTACTTTTTGAGTATATTTTTGAATGCTTGGTTGAATTGGGGCAGTGATAAGAGATGGCCAGGTTGTGAAGGAATTGAGAAGGAACTATACAGTTATCTTATTGTGAGGGAAAATATAATTATTGGGTAAATAGGAGGTACCTAAAGGCTGTTTGGGTTTTTATTTAGAAGTCTAATGAAAGAAGGAGATTAACAGCAGATAAAATTTTTGCTTCAATTTTTGTCTACAATGGAGCTTACTTACCTTTTGGATTGTATCATATTAGCTATATGCAAAAGTAAATTTTAATCAGGAGCAGAATGTAAAGGCTATACAATTTTACTGGTTTTATTAAGCTTCCTACTTTCCTAGTGACACTGGAATTGATATTGACTTCTGATAGTGGCCCGTGTGTCTCAGAGTAGGACTGTCTACACTAGGTACACCACTGGCTGGTTTGGGGTAAGCAGTTCTCCCTGTCTTTCTTTCCAGAAGGGTCTATGCACACTAAAACCTACAACAACGCAGTTTGCAGACAAACTCTTTAACCATTTGGGCTATCTTTTGACTGCAGTATTTGTGATATATTCTAAAATAGATCACTTGTTAATGAGTTAATACTGATTAATGATTGATTTATCATTATTTTGTTAATGATTTTTAGCAAAACCCATAAATTGTAAGATATGAAAAAGAGACAAAGAGATAAAATGAAATTGCTATCATTTAATCAAATGAACAATTATAGTAGAAATGACTAGAAAACGTGTTATATCTCAAGTAATTCTTCTGAAAGGGAAAGATGTATAGTTCACTTTCAGGTTAACTGTAGACACTGAAATATGTCTAGATGTCACGGGACTTACCAGACGCCTGCAATAGATTTTAAACACTTGTTGCCGTATGAAAATAAATGGGGTACTCACACTTCGATATTTCACAATATACTCCAGAATAGGCGCACCACCGTCATCTTGTTTGGTAATGCTGAGTTTAAAGCTCTTTCCACTGCTTGGCTGTCCGTGGATGGATGGAGGACTTGGTTCACCTAAATATGCAATACAACATCTTTCTTAGTTACATACATGTTAGATGTCTACATGTCTACAGAAACTGCATTTTTATAAAAAGAACAGTGCCATGTAGTCAAAAGGCATGAGGCTCTCTCTTGATTTATTATTTCTTATGACATTTGATGTGATATAATCTAGGACTTCCCCCTTTCTCATCTGAAAACCAGCAACATTCCAAAACACAGAAGTATCATGCCACAATTGTAACAACACAGGGCTGGAGATTTTATAGTGAGGATCAAATGCTCTTCCAACTGCTCAGCTGTCCCAGTCAATCAGAAAACAAACAAACAAAAACACCGTTTTTATTTTAGTACTGTACACGTATACTTGTAATATTATTAGATTATCCCCATGAATGTAAACACATTAACAAAGTAATTATATAGGTTATGTAACAACTGAGGAAGACAACTGCATAACAGTTATAAGCATTTTTTGATAATATATTTGAATACAAATTTTGTAGGTTCCAACGCTATCAATCTATGCTTTGATGATTTCTCTTCTTGCTACCAAAAATTACTTGCCTTTCGTGTTTTCATACACATAGAGGTGATTTTATCTAAGAGGTGCTTTCACTATTTTAAATAGAGTCGGTGTGCACAGAAATGTGGATGGGAAGAGCACCATCAGTGCTCGGAAACTTGGAATAAGAGGTACTGGCTGTGAGGCACTGACAGGATGTTGCTGTGCACAGCCTTCTGATTTACTTTATAATGATTTTTTTTTATCCATTTGGAAGGTGGATTACCAAAAAAATACTCAAAAAGTAGGATTATGAGTCAATGTTTACTTAATGATAAAAATAACAAAGGCCTGAAAAAGCCAGTACCTTTGAGGGTGGAGAAGAGAGAATCTTTCACAGAGTTTATGAAGACAAAGAGCATTGGTCACATATCAAAAGTGTATCAGTTTATTGTGGCCCCTTTGGTTGTCTCTCCATGTACATATAAAGGCCAAAAAAAAGAAAGTATTTTCTCTCATTCATCCTAATTCATTCAACAGAAGGAAAAAAAATAAGGCTTTAAAATTTTATCTTAATTGTAGCACTTTAGGTCAACTGACTATACAATACCTAAAGCAAAATGATAAAAAAAGATAAGTTATTATTTTCCTGCAAGTGTTGTAATAGATTAATTTATTAGTTCCAGTTTTCTCATATTAGAGACTACTTTTTAGTTGCAGGAAGAGGCAATAGTAACGTCTCAACAAAATAACAATGTACTTGGCAGATCACAGAGACATTTTTCCACTGCTCCACAGAATACAATCTGAGGACTACAGTCATCTTGATCCAAAAGGAGGGTCCCTCTGGGCCTGGTACAGATTCCTGAAGCAAGTTTTTTACTGTCAGAATTTCAAGGCCTGCTTTCTCTATTCCTTGTCTGGAGTTAAAAGATTCTCTTCATCTGAGATGCTGCCCACCTCAGAAACTACTTCAATACAGACATAATTCACTTCCCCAAGGGTTGACACTTCCCCTTGTATTTTGAAATTCCTTTTAAATTTGTAAGTAAAGAGAACGTCAACAAAGAGCACAATAGAAAAGATTACTTACGAACTGGAAGTGTTTGGAAGATTTCTATTTTACTATAATCGCCTAGCCCTTTTCCATTTACAGCAGCAACTCTGATTTCATATGTTGTATTTGGTTCCAGGTTGTTCAAAACAACCATTGCTAGAAGAAAAAGAAAATATCACATATGTGTTTGCGGGGGTGTACAATGCATTTTAATAAGTAAAACAGATCAAGACATTGAAATGCTGAGTGAATAATTTCATTGTAAAACATCTTGTGAAATGCCTGGGAAAAAGGGAAGTCAATTTAAAAAGAGAAGGATTAAAGAAGGGTCTTCTTCACCAATTTTCCAGCTTTTTAATCCAGGGTGGCAACTTTCAAAACAGGAAGTTAGAGCTTCTTTTCTTAGATTTATACTCATAAGGGAGAAAGCAAAATATTTATTCTCATCTTTTTAGCAACTATTAAATAAGAAAAATATGCATGGTATATTTTCCAGAGCGCTTTCTCAGAACTCTAAATGGATTCATTTTGTTATTTTATTTCTAGTAAATGGGAAGATGGGATTAGATATGTATATACCACTGGCTTCCACTGGGTGTATCAAAGTTTTCCAACTTGAATCTGCAGCAAAAGTACACAATTTATTCTGTAATCTCAAATGCAATCATCAAATTATTTTTAATGATAACTTAAAGGTTGGCATCTCTTTCTCTAAAATGTTCATTTAAATTACATACGGTGCAAGACTCAGGTTTAAACTGACACGTTCCAAAGAACTCAGACTCTGAAAAGCACAGGGAGGTTGCGGTTATCAGCAGCATCTGGGACATGTCAACCTTGGAAGTTTCCCAGAGAATTTCAGATATAACTGTACATTTCAAACCGTCATAAATTCCTCTGTCAATGTTAACAACTCACAATAGTTGCTTTTTCATTACTCCTTTTTCCTACACACACACACACACACACACACACACACACACACACACACACACACATTTAAACAAAAAACTATAACTGGGAAAAGCAAAGTCTTTTGAGTGAAATAATGAAAGTTATGTATAATTTTCATTCTAAATTGAAGTCAAATATTCAGTTCCCAACAAAGTACATAGATAAATAAGATAATATTTGTATTTGGTTTTACATGAGTCATAATTAAAGACGGTATCTATGAAATGTAATTTCAATATAATTTTTCATATATTACATCTGAACTTTATAGAAAATAAAAATAAATAATATTTTAATTTTCACCACATAAATATAATTAATGGATTGAGTTTTAAATTTCTATTTGTTCTATTATTGTTCCCATATTTCTCATCATCTCCTTTATTTATCTTTTGTATTATAATCTTTAAGTTTCAAAGACTACAAGTTAAACTCTATAAAAGAAAACAAAGTTCCCAATTACAACATCGTTTTTCTAGTCTAAATTGCAGAATTTTGAAAATAGATGAAATAGCTAGCAGCAGATAAAGTTATATAATAGAAATACATAGTCCAAATATTATCAAGATGGTACTTACCCAATAAGACATTCTAAAAAGCATTGAAAAAATGTAATTCCAACTGAAAACATTTTTATTTAGATTTTAACTACAGTTTTACTACATTGTAAGAAAACTCAACTTTTTAAATTGTGTATCACTTTGTGAAAATGTCATAATAGAAAACATGATGTCAGAATTAAGGTGAGTCAAATGGAAAAAGATTGATTGGCATGAGAAGGCTACTAATTAGAGTCTTTGAGGATAAAGGGGAAAACTAAACCTTTAATTAACTGATTTCTATCAAGCTAACAACATTTGAGCACTTTCAGATAACCCAAACCCAGCTACTGACCAGGAGCAGATGAATGTTTAATGTCACAATGTCAGCCTTGGAAAATGAATATCGTTACGATGGAAGGAATGTGCCCCTCAGGTTCTCTATGGAAGGGACAAAACCATACTGAGTTTATTAGTTAACATACAATGAAGCTGTAAGTTTACTGCCCCTGTGCTATCAGACTGCACCTCCTCCTCTGTAAACCACAGTTAAGTGTGCCTGGTGTCACATGAGATCTGACAAACTTTTTGGCTCCTGTGAGGGTGGATGTCATTCGGATCCTTGTGACCGCTGCTGCGGCTGCCCAGGCTAGAGTGCATTGCCACTGCAGACCGCGCCTTCTCCAGTGTGGGAGACAAAGAAACTTCTCTCTGGTTCAGTCACTCTGGTACAGCCAAACTTACTCCTAAGTGATACAATATGCATTTTTTTTTTAAACACAAAAAAATCTGGAGAAGTATAAAGAAGTAGAGTGGAAGATTCTTGAGATTGTTAATCCTACAAAGTAACTTGATCTAGACTATCATAGTTCTGTTGGAATCAACTCGATGTCATTGAATGAGTAACCTTATGTTGGAAAAGGAAAATAAAGTCTTAAAATTCGGGGAAACAATAAGAAATTAACTTCTGTACACTGCATAGTAAATTCTAGTGAAGTTTCATCATAATGTATCAATTTAATTAGTTCATACACATCCTAAATTACAAAAATAATGTAAAATGAGCTCACTAGTCTGCAGATATTAAAACTTAATTAGGGTGTGTTGATTCTCCAGGGCTCCTGTTCATCTGAATTGTCTCACCGAGAATTATATATTGAGGTCGAACCCATTCATGGGATTTAGCCAGTTTGCACCAGTTCAGCAAACCAATAATTGATTTTTGTGAGTTCAGCAAACTGGTTGGTAAAATGGAATTCATAATCAGATTTATGGAATTCATAATAGGTAGGGTCCTAATACAATATGACTGTTAGCCCTTTAAAAGAGAAGAAATGCAAATAAAGAATGAAAAAAGAAGGATAACAATTATTGAGGCTTCACAAGCTCTTGGAGCTACTAGAACCCAGAAGAGAGCAATGGAAAGAGACGCTCCCCCAAAGCTTCAGAAGGAATCAAAGGGTTGAAACGTCCCTGGGATTCCTTATCTCCAGCATTTCCAGCGATCAATTCTGTTCTTATACCTCATCCGGTTTGTGGTGTTCTTTTCACGACAGCCCTACAAGACCATTGTAGACCATGATGTTCTTAGATGATTACTAATTCGTCCTGTAGTTCACACTTGATATGAAATGAGGACCTAAGAGAAAACATGTGCAAGATATTGTCCAGCTGCAGAAGCTCTAGGAAGGAGGATCCTTTAGACTCTTGACAAAATCATGTGGTCCTTGGTCTCTTTTCACCAGTGCTCAGGATCCAGTAGTTTCTATGCTGTCTCTCACATTATAAATAATGACACTGAATTTAAATACCACAGGAATTAAAGTATATAAGGAATAAAGAGATAAACATGTGGTCTGTTAAAATGAGATCCTATGCATCAATTATCTATGCAAGTGTTTAGTTTTGAATACCAAAACACAAACAAAAATCTCACTGCCACTATGTCAATTCCAGCTAGTAGCAACCGACTCCTTGTAGTTCTGCTACAAGTAACTGCTCCTGGTGCCTCCAGAGCTATTCATCTTTACAGGATCAGAAAGTGTGATATTGCTCAGAAGAGGAAGTGATGGGTTCAAACCCTCCACTCTGCCACCAGGGCTCCGTCTTTATTTTTCTAATTATGGGTAGGTTGTGAAATGATACATATAAGGCTTAGCCCAAAGATGAATCATCTATAATACTGTAGGGGTGATACTCTATATTTGAGGAATATAGTAGAACCCTGGTACTCGACCACGTCAGTATTCAACACAATTGGATTTTGATATGAAATGTCAAGAACATTTTGCATCAGACCTTGAACAAAACATTGGAATCTGACCCAATGCACGTGATTTTCTTTAACAAAAGCAGTTTGTGTTTCAGGCACTCTGCATTAGTTGGCATTGTTAGTACGTGTTGTTTAAACCTTTTGTGACTCTGTTCCTAGTGTTTTACTATAATTTTCTTAGTTTTGTGGCTTTTTGTACTGTTTTCAGATAAAAAAAACATGGTATCTAAGAAAGAGTTTTTGAAAAGAATCATCATGATAAAGAACTGGTTAACCATGTTATTGATATTGATGATGACAATTTTCTAAACCCTTTTAGAAAACAGTTAAAGAAAAAGCCAGCAGCAGACCACATTAGACAGATTATTTTTTAGAGAAAGCCAGCCAGGTCCTTGTGATAAAAGGCAAATAAGGGGAAAATATCCTGAAAAGCAGCTACCAGTTGATTTTATGAAAGGGGATTCCCCTTCCAAACAATGACTCTCTCTCCATCCCTCCTCTCCACATCCCTGTCCACAGATCCAGATCCTCACCAATCTCAAGGTATGGACCATACTGCAGTTGTTAAAAACGGTTTAAATTTTGTGTTTCTTCTTAAATTATATTATTTAACTCTGAGCTTATTTAACTTGAAATTTCTGTGTAATGTTTTGTATAAAAAGGCAAGGTTAGGGTAAAAACTTGGTGGTCGAGAATGGATTAATCCATTTGTAGTTATTTCTTATAGGAAAAAATGATTCAGAACTCGACTGCATCGCATCTCGATGTTCCTTCTAGAACAGATTAGCATCGAGGTCCAGGGTTCTACTGTATTTACTTACAAAGGGCAGTTATGATTTACACTGGTAATCCATACGGTTAGTGTGCTACATCATAACATGAGATATTACTATAGAACTTTCTATTTATGCAGACTATTTTTGTTTATGACAGACGATCCATCATTCTGTGATATGAATAAGTGGTTGCAACCATTATTTGAAGAGCGTGAGGCATACTATAAGTTAATGTGAGTGTAACATTCACTACTAGCATCTAAACCCAATGTTTTGTTTTGAAAATGCTGAAGAAAGATATTCGAATTTAAAGCAAGTATGTTAATGGATAGACACCTCTATATTAAATTCAACTCAGATATAGGGAAACACACATTTTAGATACAATTTCATTACTCTGTTCTTTATCATGCTTGGTTAAAAGTAGATAAATGTGCAGCTACCGAAGATTCAGCAAATATTCCTAAAGTAAATAGTAAAAAGGCAGTTATTATTTTGATTTAATACTACTATCAATTACAATAACAACAAAATGCAAATTCACATTTTACATGAATTAGCAAAGTATATCACGGAAATCTTTGTCTAACTTGGATCAGTTGGGATCATTCCTTC